AATGCGCGCCTCTTCGATCGCCGCAAGCGCGTGCCCAGAGTGTATCATCGCCCATAGCGCCTATAGTGACCTTGGGCCCCCCTCGTCCGATCCTGTCTGCGCGGCGCGTACTGATGACGCCACCATGCCATGCGCATCCCCTGCCCCTGTCGATGCCATAGGCCTTAGGCGCTCCGTTTTCCCGTCCATGTCTACTGAACTGCTGGGCCACGGAGCGTGGAGTAGGCCAATGGGAAACCGAGCCGTAGTGACCTTATCAACCCGGTTGCCTGATCGGGAATTGCTTGCACGAGAAGGAACAGCGCGCGTTGCTGACGCGTCCAGGCGTCGGTTCGTTCTAGGACTCTTCTTAAGAGTTCCACCGAAGCTTTTTTTATTATTATTATTATTAGCGCAAAAACACGCCGTCCGCTTGTCTGGTCTGGTAAGAACATCGACAGGAGCGAGGAATGTGAACCATTGTTCCAAAATTATGGCAGCGAATCGTCGCCTACTTTGCGATATCCATTGGCATAAGATTGTAAAGCCTGTCGCGTTCAATCTTTTGCAACTTGTTGTTGTAACAGAGAGAAAAAAGAAAACGGCATTTGCGATATTGTGGGCTTTTGAGCCAATTCGGAGACACACGCGTCAGCGACTGGAACGTTATCGCTTTCATTCCGTGCAAGCGGTTCTGTGACTGACGTGCCTTAGAGGCTGAGATGCTGTCGTACCATTTATCCCATTAGAGAAGTGAAGCGAGATGTTGTAAGTTCGTTGTTGTGGTTGGTTTGTCGTACCCTAGATAGCGAACGTTAGGTTTGTTTGAACATTAGGCAGTGTTTCCCCCCGACCGCGTGAGGGAACGCTCTGCGTTTCCGGGTTTACCGTGCGCGTACACCTGCATACGTGCACGGTAATTTTGCCGAAGGTAGGTATGAGTGATTATTCCTCGTCGCCGTTTCTTTGCTGTCCATTTTTTTTTTTTATTATTCTCGTTCTTTGCACACTTCATGTTGCTGCCTAGTGGGAAATAAAAAAAAAAGGTGCTGGAAGGAGGGAAACAATTATACCATCCTGATGACGAGGCGGTTTGCGTCCGCCAATAACATTTACTCTTCGGAATGCCATTAGAATAACGTACAACATCTCAACCTGTTCCAAATCGGGAAAGGGGAGGGGGGAGGGGCACAATTTTTCACCGCCCCTTTGAGGGATTAGAAACCGAGATTTTAGTGTATTTAGTCAGAACTCTACCAGCTGCTGAAGATATATTTTGCATTCATGAGGTCTGTGGTTACTTTTGTAGCTATTGTATCATTAAGGCTGGTTATAGTTTACGTGCAAACTTTAACACAAAAATAGGCATGAACAAAAAGTTAGGGCGAAAATAAGCTGGTGAAGGTTTTAACATTTTGGACAAAACCCTAAGACTGTGGGGAGGGGGGGGGGGGGTGAGTTTAAGACACAGCTCAGCTGTGTTTGAGACTTTGTGTTGTGCTGTCCTTTTTCCCTCCCAGTATCGAGGTTTTGTCCAAAATGTTAAAAATAGGCATCTTTGCTCATAACCCATAGTAGTGCAGATTAGTTGTCAGGTAATGAAGTTTTACTGTTCACCATTACATATAATTGAAACCTCTGGAACCCAGTAGTTTGCGGAGGGTTTAATTATATCTATATTCCCGCAGTCATTAGTAGAATAAATAAACAGTGACATCTTATCCGAAGCTGAATAAACGTTTCGCTTGGAACAGCTCGAATGTCTTCGTTCGAAGTCCCTTTTGAGAGAAACGCAATTACAAACCCGCCGTAGATCAACACGCGCCCGGACTGGCTCGTACAGTCTCCATCAATACGAATGACCCATTCGAAGAGGTAGTTTCAGGTGGCTGTGCTAAATTTGCTTTAGCGAGGCCAAAATTTCTTGAGGTAAGTAAATATGTTGACCTTTGTTCTACTCTCTGTGTAAAAATAAAATGACTCTGGCTAAAGTCCTCTTGGCACAGACGCATCAATAGCGTAGGTAAATGGGTCTTTCACAATGTGGGAAACCACATTCTAGAGCACCTGCGTGACCTTGCTCCATGCGTCAACAGAACTTCTAAGCGCCGCCAACTCGCATAATTTAGAGCCAGAAAGAAAAAAGCAATTCGAAGGCAGAAAAGCAATCAAGCACGTAGCGAGCGCGCACACCTAATATTAGTACTGCGCTCCCCAAGGCTTCCATTCCAAGTGTCCTAAGAACAACAATCAAAGCTCTCATTCCCTGCAACCTTCGAGCGCTAGATAGCGCACGCAATAAGAACTGGCATGGATTACGTGATCCTCTCCCTCCAGGCTTTTGCTTCTTTTGAATTCCTCGCGTACCGGCGTGATTGTAGCGTCCCTTTTATGAGGCTCGACGAATCCAGCGAAACATTATACGGCCTCCCTTCACATTTCCGTGTTTTGATATTTTGGCCTGCGGGGAGTCGGCTGAGAATTATTTGCGTTGTCAGAAAAAAGCGGCTACGCCTGCTTTCACTGCTTCGTACTTTGGGCATTTGCGGCCATTAGAGCTTCACTCCAAATTACGCTATGTGTAGCAATAGGTACAGCCGCTTGTTGGCTACTCCATCAAGCCTTAACTGTGCCTACAGACCTCTTCCGATGTTTACAAAATCACAACGGGGCGTGCGATTTTCACGGCCCAGCACGTGCGTGTTCGTCGCTTTGCAATGCGAGGCAAGCCGTTTTATTCTTCCAGTGACCGTAGCAGCCGAAATAGGAAGCTGTGCAAGAAGGTCACGAAAGGTCTAACCGGAGTTACCAGTAGTCGCAAACAGAATAAGAAATATCGAAATACCCGAGAACCAGTGTTCTGACTGACCGTGGTGTGTCGCTTGAGCTTTGAGCGCACTCAAGATGGCGGGCTCGTGCTACGCGCGTGTCGCCCGAAAGCTGCTCTCGACGTTTTCGTCTTGTCTGCAGCGATATGCGAGGATAACGTGCGCTAAGCATTGCTCGGGTTTCTGAACGGTATTCAGCTTAGTGCAGCGCAGAGGTCCTTGTTACGTACCATGATGACGTCAGTTACTTTATGGAACGAAGAGTCCTGAATGATCATCCCGTCATGACATTGAGGTGTGCATCGATGTACCGTCGAGGGTAGAAAGCGCGCTCTCGGCGACTCGGGCGAAATTATGTTGTGATACTCGTTTTATGCTTTCCTCATGGGGGTTCTGGGGAACGGTGAGAGTTTAAAGACTTGCGATGAATCCCCGAGCGTGTTGATCACGGCGGAGTTGAACTTTTCTTTTCTTTTCGGCGGCGTGGATTTGGCACAGAACATGCGACGTGCGTACTTAGACGTAAGAGATAGAAGCAAAGTGCCGCTCTAAACAAATCCGCCTACTAGTTAACAGCTGTGTAGCCGACAAGCTGACCCGTGCGGACCTTAAGACTTTGACCCCCCCCCCCCCCCCCCCCCTCCCCCCAGAGAAAAAAATTATTGGCAGGGATTTTAAGAGAGGGGGTAATAAAACATACGGATTTGCCGAGGCTAGAAATAATTAGTTCACACGAGGTGTATTTTGAAAACAAAAACGACACCTTTCACCTAACCATTTGCCCACGTTTACCCAACGTTTACCCACCTTTAACCAACCTTTAAAAATAAGAGATATTTAAACTGACTTGTCTACGCGAGATTGAAAACAATGGGCGTTTACAACAAAAGCCTCAATTTACTTCTGTAAGTTATCGAGGGCCACTTATTTTTTCTACTCTTGTCGACTTAATATGCTCGTGCAACCTGAGTGCGATCACATTAAAAACACATCGTCAGGCATAACGTTTTACGCGATTATGAGCCGTAATTTATAACGTTAGATAACGCATTTTCTGTTCGGCCGCTTTATTGTTGATAGCAAATGGGTCTCGGGGCTTGCTTTTGAAATCTGTTCATCAAGGCAGCAACATGAGTGTGGGGCATTTTATTTCTCGTATCGCTAATCTGATTTGACTGTTATCGCACATAGACAAAACTGAAAAAAAAAAGCAGGCAATGGCAGGATAATTTTGACTAAACGAGGAATTTAATGTGCATGTAGCAGACTTCAGCTACAGGACGAACACGTTGTCAAGAGACGGTGTTATTGCGAGCCGCTTAAATCGCCGACCAGACTGAGCACGTGTGACTTTGATCGAACGCGCTTTTGTCAATAGTTACATGCACCGCCCCCTGCGATATCAGTATTACGTTTAAAAGATTAAATGAAAAGCACCAGAACGTGGCGTAGTAATGCATGACTTGGCCCAAGGACCATGTAGTTAGGTACATAGTCCTGCATCTCGGAATAAAATTTGAGGCAATAGTTTGTAAGTAGCTAAACTCAGGATCAGCGAGAATATGTTTAGCATAGTGAACGCTATTCAAAAGTCAAATTTTGGGGGCTGGTTATTTTGTTACAGTGAGATATATATATATATATATATTCTTCTGTTGTATGTTTTACAAATAACCTCAATATCGTTAAGGAAAACGTGGGGACGCTAGCCGCATTTTATGTGCAGCGATGGTAATTAGCTCTAATACTAAGGTGCTAACAACTTTCTATCTTTGCAATCTCGGTATCATTCGAAGGAGAAATCAACTAATTTTAAAATGCATTTCTCGAATTATCCGAAACGTCTTCGACTTGGTCAAGTTTGCAACCGACGCGCTCCCCTTTAGGCCGTCGTGTGGGCGATTCAGACGTCTCGCTAAAACACTTTTATCTGGCAACGGACACGCTCGTCCTTACACGTATCAATTTAAGACCCAGCAAAAAAAAAACATAACACGATTTAAAAAATAAATTATTTTCCACCTGCCTTATCTGTACAGCGCCAGCTTAAGGTAGGAACGTTAAGCCTGCACTCGATCGTTGTCGTGTCACTCACCTGTGGTCGCTGTCTCGCTCCTTCCTTTCCCCTTCATCCGGGCAACCCTGCCACGCCACCGACCATGTGACCGCCCCACCGTGCTGTCCGGACGAAAGCAGCGGGCTTCCCGGCCTATGGCTACGGCCGCGGAGGCTACCCGGGCTACCCTGGCTTCGGCTACCCCTTCGCAGGTATGAACTTTAACATGCAACACCTCTGCCTGCCCTGCCCACCCCTGGATCCTTTGAACCTGTACAACCTGCATTCCATGCAGCTCATTTAAGCCACCGATGAGCCTGCGCCAATATTGTCCACGGGGCCCCTGTTGTGCGTGCTGCTGCTGTTGTTTCGTTGTTTTTTCTTGGCTCTCTTTCTCTCTGTTTCTTTCTCTGAATCCGCTGGTTCGCAACGATTGTCAGATCGTGTTTCTGCTGGCCTTCAGTGTCGCCCCAGCTACTTATTTTTTCTTGCATTAATTATTATTGTTATTGTTCTCGCTGATCTTTTCTGATGATGGAAGTTGTCGAGTATCGTTTTTTCTTTTTGTTAACGTGCGCACGGTTGTGGGCCCCGCTTCCCCTGTTTGAAATTGGGTGTGAATCCTTTATGAGTGAACATTTAAATGAAGTGCGACTTCGTAAGGGCGCTTTGGAAGGCAGCGCAGAAAACTTACCATTTCGTTTGTACGACGTACACTATTAACGTACGCGCACACCGCAGGAGTACGAGTGCAAGGCATTTATTAAAAACGTCCTTCATTATCCACAAGTACCCCGTTCAGAAATCGTTCACTAGGTTGTTTATCTGTTTTTTTTAGGCAGTTTACGCTTTAGGTTAAAAAGATCCGAGTGCAACGAAGATATTAATATTTTGTATCTCAGCGGACCCGACTACACTAAGGATGTCGCAAATTTGCGTTGAACAACTCGAATAACATTTGTACGACAGTATGTTCAACCGAGCTTTGCATTTGCACGACTCTTCGCAGCCTCGATTTGAGCGCTTCGTGAAGTGCAACCACATCGTCATTCCATTTGTACAATGAGGCTTACTTGGTATTTGGATGTGCCAACACTGAATTCCCGCCACTGATGCGGGCGCAACAAACCGCCCTAACCACGTCGCACTCCGCCTAAATGCCGGCTCTTTTGAAACGCCTGCGTTCTCCCGCCAACGGGGTGGCACCACTCCAGCACCGTTGCCCCTCTGTGTGTCCGCCCGGCGTCAACGCTTCTGTCCGTTCGCCCTGCGCCGACGAACTCTGTTAACCTGCGACGTCCCTCAGCGTGTTCTTGTTCCCGTTGCTGTGCTGCTCCAGTTTTTCGTTGGGATACTTTTTTTGTTTTTTGTGCGCCCCTCTTCCGCATAACTGCTTGCGCACGACGACCTGTGTGACGCGCGCGCACACACACGACGCCTCCCGACTGATCAATCGCCTGCGTGGGAAAGAAAACACACGGCACGTCCCCTTCCCTACTTCTTCCAGCGAAGCACCGCTGTGACGTCGGATGCAATCACGCCGGTCTTCTTCTGACTTTGCGTCGTTGTCCTTTTCCCGGCTAGGGAAGTTCCAGTCTCAACAAATCGCGCCATTTGCCGTCAACTCTCTCCTCTTGGCCAGACGTGCGCTTCACGCCTAAAACCCCATATTTTACCGCTAGAGAAATATTGAGTTATCTGAGCTTAGTGAATATTATTACCGCTTGACCAGCTACTCAACTCAGTTTCACATGGTCTGATGCGCTAAGACGACGAGCATCTTGAGGATGCAATTCTTGCGCTTGCTTCGTTGGTTTTATTTGGACTTATTCTGAAGCGGAGCATAAACCGTACTCTCTTTCACCTTACGATGAACCGCAACGGACGCTGCGAGTCGCACGAACCAATCCTTAGCTCAGGAGGTCTCACGTGACCCTCCGGTTGGGCGGAGCGACGCGCGGAGCCTGAAGACGCGTGTCACGCCTGAAGCGCCTGGATTGGCTAACGTGGCTGCTAACGCCCGTTGTGGTTCATCGTAAACTGAAACAGACTATACAAATCCTCAACGGGTGGGTCCTGGTCGCTCACTATTAAACTCGAGGCTGCGTCTCCAAATAAATTTGGTCCGTTCATACCACTGCATCTTCACAATGATTTTTTGCAGTTTCTCCCCTAAATTTACGCGTAGCCCATCGTGCACTTTCAATTCTTAGGAACACGGCCTCGACCCCTTTAATACCAGGCGAACGTTTTTTTACGAGCGGAATGCCGCAACTCGTTGAGACCGGGACTTCCTTCTCTTGTGCGTTCTCCGTTTCAACCTTGCTCTCCCGATTCTAACCGTTCATGTTGACTTTGCTGCTGTAACCCGCGTGTGGTTAAGCCGATGATTATTCATTGCCGGTTGTGACGTACCGCCTTGCTTGTGCTCATGTGCTTCTGGGTACTTGCGTGCTAATGGTGCTTGCCCGCTAAACGCTTGTGCTTCGCTTTTGTAGTGTGTCATTTTTCTCTCTTATTTTCCTTATTATTACTCTTTTTCTTTTGTCAAGGTAGAAACTAAAACCGTGCGCGTGCAAGTCGCTGCTGTCATGTAGACGCGCTCAGCTCTCGTGCCGACGGTTGCTTTTTAAGCGAACGATTTTAGTGTAAAGCTCTTTTCTTACACGAAACCTTCCCCGATCCGAGATCTCTTTCTGCGGTCACTGAAGAGATCAGAACGTCAGGGAGGAGCTTCCGTTTTCCCGGCTCCAGCGCAAACTTCCATGCCTTCGACAGCGCGTCGGCGTCTCCCTCACCTGGAGCGCGCCTCCAAAGCACGACGGAAGGCAGTAAGCGCGTGCCTGAGGCCGGGTTTTCGAGAGGCACGCCCCGCTGTTCTCGATCTGTCGAGGAAGACAATTGTCCCAACTCTTCCCAAGGTTATCGTCCCGACATATCATTAGTCTCGCGTCGTATCGCCACTCCCTCCTCTCCTCCCGTTTTCCCTAAACGACTCCGCAACCACGCACGGAAAAAGAAAAGACAACCAAAAGAAAACAAATTGTTGTGCCGCTACAGGTCCAGAGCTGATGATTCCTATCAACTACTTCCTTTTGTGATACACTTCCAAGTCAGCCACGGACAAAGAGAGCATCTCCTCGCGTCGTCTGTTGCCCCCCCGGGCCCTTGGCACTGTACTCACAGACAGCTTAAGAAACACGGGGGGCGGGGCTTGTTACCTTGATGCCCTTCTTGCTTCGTGATTGGCTCTTCAGGCGTTCCTATTTGGTAATGCCGCCATCTGATTGGCTGAGTAGCGATAAAGGAATGATGGGAACTTGCCCCGCCCTCCTTTTTGTTATAAAAAAAAATGCTGACTATGGGTATATCTGCGTTGTTTACGCCTTCGAGAATCAGCAAGTACACACACAGACTATTTCTGGTTGGCACTCTTCAGACGGCGTCACGGCTGCATCTGCTTCTGTTCCTGTTATTGCTACTGCGGTTGCTGTGTCATCCTTCTGTACATAAATTGCCGTAAACTACAATCTTTTTTGCGTTTTTTATGTATTTTTTTTTATTTGTCTACAGCACGAGCCGTTTTCGCGGCGATGAACGGATATCGCGGGAGTTTATCGCAAATATTCCCCAGAGTCAGCAGCTTACTTTATGCGCAACAACATTGGTGCATAAGATTGGGTCCTGATCTATCGGGCGTTTTAAATTAGTGTTTTTTTGTGTTTTTTTTATGACAATGAATAACCTGTACTGAGAATTTTTTTTTTTTTTTAACGGCAGCTTTCTTTCTTTTTTTTTAAGAGTGGGTTGTTTATGTTATTTTGAGGGAAAACGCAGTATTGTATGTACCTGGGAGTTCACTTAGTAATGGTTTTTGTTTCTACTCCTCAAAATATTCGTTTATAATGCTGGATTTTACACTTATTTGGTAACGAATGCTGCGGTTTTAGCGAGGCAGGCTAATAAAGCGCCTTGTTTAAATTTATTAGTTTCTTGCGGCGTGTTCAGGTTTGTGTAGGTGTATTCCATCTAGGTTATTTTACCATTTGCTTGGTGTGGGGCGCGAAAAAACATACGATCATATTCGTGAGTCTTCACTACAAACAATAAATGGCCTCGGTCGCGTTCGACGGGTAATAAGAAGAGCCAATAAGGTATAGCAGCGTGCAATTTGTTTTTATTTAATCAGACTAGGGGTGAATAGGGAACTTCCTACTCGGGTTGCTTTAACGAGTGAATTAAGAAATTCTTGCAGCAATCGAGTATCGTTTGCGCATCAGGGCAGCAAGGAGGCTTAGCGTGTTTTACCTTTTGCATAATGGAGCATCTCTGCGAGAATTCGGTGGTGGCAAGCCGAGTAATAATTGAAAAGAAATTAATTTCCCGCTTGCTCACCAAAAGTATGTAGCATGTTGTTTCCTTTTTTCTTTATGTTTTGGAAGATGACATTAAGCCTAAGCCAAAAAGCAAACCTTAACATGCAAGGCTTGCCAAGTTCTATTCGACCTTGCGTACCGTTCAGATTAATGTTATTTGTTTGCTTACTGTTGGCATTATTTTTCTTTTTTAAAACCCACGTGCTCCCCTGCTTTTTTTTTTCTTCTTATTGTTTTTGTTGTTATTTTAAGCTCTCATGCACCAAAGAACTACTTGGTACTGTTTTAAGCGATGCACAATATCATTTATTTTACGTTTCCTCTCACATTCATGTGGGTATGTTCGAAAGTCATCAACGATGAGAGTATCCCAGGCACCTCAAAATTACAGGATTCACATCTCTCATATTGCCTTGCTGCAACATGGCATGTTCCTCAGCTCTGACTGCTTTAAACTCAGGGGCCTTCTGTGACAATGCTGTCAACTGAACGTGAGCGCGTGCTTGTGCGCCGATTAAAGCGGAGCAGGCGCGTACTCTGAAATATAGCAGAAAGTTGTCCCTGAGTAAAGAACGTTCAAAAGGCACTGCTATGCTTTAGAAACAGCTTTCTTATTTGGTTGTCCTCCTAGGACGCTGAAACACCCGGTTGTATTATGTCTCGCTGTTGCTTCTTACATTATAAACATAAATAATTACTTTACACAATGTGTACACACAATGACAGAAACGTGAGTGTGAAACCAGTAGTTTGTTATGGGTCAGTTGCAATGCATAGGATTCGAAAAAACGGCTTGTATCATTCGAGTGATAGGAGCTTCTGACTTAGAAACCACA